GTACCTTTGTCCAACAGTCTTTAATCATGAACATTCAGCCCATCACCCCTCCATATAGGTTAGATGAAGGTTTCGATCAGGAATGGATGTTGGCTTTTGTCAGAGGCTTTCTCTGCATCAATTGAGTGTTGTACGGTTTTCTTTTTCTCATTGCTATGGTGAGTTTTGTGGATTGGTTTTTAAGTAATAAATTGGCCCTGATACCTGCTGGGGTAGATCTCTCTTGATTGAGATGTATTGTCCTTCTCATGTTGCTGGATTTGACTTTGCAAAAACTGTCTAGGATTTTTGCTCCTGTGTTTCTGAAGGTCAAGGATGTACAGTCTTCAACAAATTCATGATTTTCATCTGTTGAAACTCATGAAGACATTTTATGAGTAGGCATACAATCTACCTTGGGAGATACTCTGTGTACTTGAAAAGAATGTGTATTTAGTGGTTTTGGGGTGTGTCACTCAGTAAGTATTGGTGAGAGCAGGTTAGCTTGTGGTGGCAATCAGTTCTATATCCTCACTGAGAGTGATCTACTTGTTTAGTCAGTCTTTGAGGGAGGAGAGCTGAAATCTCTAAGGTTGCAGAGTGGACATTTCTGTCTTAGGGTGCTCATGCTTCTGCTTAATGTGTCTGAAGCGCTAACATTAGGTTCACAGAGATTTCTCTGTCACCTAATGAACTCCAGGCCTCGCACTCTACCACCTTGAGCTGCACCCCAGCCCTTTCGTAGCTGGGGTGACAGGCACATGCCATAAATTTTTGCCCAGGTGACCTCAAGCTGCTATTCTCCTGATCTCTGAAGAGCTGGGATTATAGGTGTATGCCACTGCACAGGACCTGAATTGAATTTAATCACTGTAAAGATGTCTCTTCTACCTCTGACGGTGCTGTTTCATCTGACATTGATAAGCCATCCCAGCTCTCTTACATCCCATTGTATACCTCCTCTGCCGTCTTACTCTCATCCTACACCTTTCTATTTCATGTGCTTTGGTCTTAGTAGAAGTACTTGGGACTCATTTTTCATTCTCACCTATTTAAACATCTCTTTAGCCCATCTTATATAATGGATGATGGGTGTGGGCCTGAGTCCACCCTCCTCCGCAGGACTTCAGCCTGGGCTCCATGGGACTCTGGGGCTCTGTAGTCAGCTGTCCATCTCCTGAACCATTCAGTCGGCCTCACAGCTGCTCATCCATCTCCGAGTTGCCAGGCCCTCCCACCCTGTCCTGTTTTCTACCTCCTGGGGGCTGCTCTTTACCACCTGCTGCCTGTCCTGGACTCTCAGGGCTGGAGCTCCTGCGTGGGTCTCCTCAGCCTTCTGCAGGAAAGGGTCCCACTCATTCCACACAGCCTGCCCCCAGCTCAGACAACTGTCCACTGACAGGTCTGCCTGCAGGTCACCCTGCTGCGTCACTCTGCAGGGAAGGGGCTAAGGCCTCTCCTCCTACAATGAGCTCACACCATCTGGAACCATTCTGTGGGCTTCTGGACCTCTGCAGCTGGCTGGTGGCCTCTCAGCAGCTGTGGCTCTCAGCTCCTCTGGTTGCTCATGTCAGGGTGGGAGTGGGAGGTCTCTAGACCCTGTGTTTAGAGCCCATCCACATCGTCAACAGGGGACTTCTAGTTGTCCTTCCAGTGTCCATCCTCCCTGTCACTTGCCCATCCCATTTACGTGTCTGTACTTTGGGCAGTCCCTCCCTCACTGCACTTGGTCTCTTTCCAATCATATTAGTGCTGGTTTTTGTCTCTGATACCTAGTAAGGCTGTAAAATCCTAGAGGGCAGGGGCTAACCTCTACCTTTCTAACCCAGCACCCAGCGCAGTTCCTTATCCATCAAACATGTTTTTAAAATGCTTTGAAAATAACTCAATTAATGGTATTGCCCGGTAACGAACTTCAGCTTGACATTCTTCAGTGGCCTAGTGAAATGGGGACCGATGCTCCATGTAATGACGAAGGGGTGAAGCAGGGGCTTTGCAGTGTTCTGTAGAACCATAACGGACTCTGAGCTATGGCTATTCTAGTCAATGAAACAAGAAGTTGGGCGCCTGGCTATCAATGCAGCAGCAGTGCTCGCTCTGGACTCGGCAATCAGTAAGGGTTCAGGCAGCGTGTCAGCACAGCAGGCTGTGGCTCTGACTTAAGAGGGCAGGTGACTTTGTCCCCTATGCTTCTGTTAGGAATGATCAGTACGAGAACCCCTAAGATGATAAATTCAGAATATGTCTCTGACTATGTATCCTGGAGTTAGATTCCGATGGCAGACACTTAGGAAAACGTGATTTGTACATAATTCATTGGAAACTGGTTGCACCTTGAAAGACCATCAGTGGCTGAAGTTTAAATTGCCAGGTGAAATATTTCATCCCCAGCTGGCCAGAGTCCACAGTCGCCCAGGGAATCTGATTGTGGCTTCCTCTGCTTCCTTCTGTCTTTGCTCATTAGAGAGATGATTAAGCTTTCTCATTTAAACACATGACAGCAAAAATAATGAGTTCTGGGTTTTCATGCAGAAGCATCAGTCTTAACACAGAAGAAAAAAGACCTAAGCCAAAAATGCCATCCAGTGCTCAGTTTCTGAACAACCTTGTGGCCGTCACGTTTACACGGTCCTGTGATAGGACGACCACCACAGAATTCATCAGTTCACACAGGCTTTCGAAATGGACAGGAGGGCTTATGAGCAATGGCACTGGACAGCAGGCATCAACTGGTTGTGATCACTGCAGCCTGTTGCACCCTGATGGGAGGGAGTTTCAAAGATCACAGAAGCCAAAGTATGCTGACGGGTGCTGACCACCGCTGCTGCTCAGTATGGAAGCAGTGGGCATGTGGGCAGTGGCTGCTGCCCCTCCTCTGCATGGCCTTGACTCAGGGAGAGTCACAGTTCATGGATGTACCATGAGACATCCCAGGAGTCCTTCACGGGCACCTGAAGACATCAGTGTTTCAATAGAGTCAGCTGCACCTTGACCCCACATGAGAAAAGGTTTGAGGACATGGAGGACTGAGAAGTTGAACAACTTTCCCAGGGCCACAGAGCATCAGGAGGAACAAGGTCATCGTGCCCTTCACTGACTCCCCTGAGAAAAGATCCACGTGAGACCCACCTCTACCCTCATGGTATCTAGTTGTGTACCTGCAGGTAGAAAGCCCACAGTCACTATTAGTGAATGAATAAAATCTTCAGGTTTCATACTTAAAAAGTAGACCAGGCTCACTTGGGCAGGGTGCCCACAAGGGTGCCTGCCCACAGTTCATGGGAAAGGCCTTCGTTTGAATCTTTCCTCTGCCACTGTCTGAGCAAAGGTGGGTCCAGGCACCAGCAATATCCCTGTGTCATCTCGACCCTACTTCCAGGGGCTCTAGAACCCTGTCACCTGCAGTCTGAGAGGCTCAGGACTCCCACACAAACATACACCCACACGTATACCAGCAATGACTCTATTAGCCCAGCTACACATTCCCCTGATACAGGAGACCTGGCCCTCTGCCCCAGGAGTAAAGCAGACATGGCAGAGGTACAAATCAGTTGCTGCACTGGGGCAGTTGGTCTGGAACCCTGTGGCCTCTGTGTGCATCTGGGCCAGCATCAGGACTGTCCCATGGCCACTGGCCGCCTGGCCTCTAGGCTCAAATGTCATGAAGTACCTCCTAACAGAACTTGAGGGTGATGGTGGAGGGCAGCAAGAAGGAGTCATTGCAGGAGTCTCTAGAGGACAGCTGGATGGCAGACCTGACCTCTCCCTGGGGTTGGCTCCTCACAGCAGAAGTGGACAGTTCCCCATCCAGCATGTAAGGCCACAGTCCACTATGAAAAACATGTATCTCCAGATCTCATTGATCCTGAATCAATCTGCAGGATTCTTCCACTGAACCTCTGAGAAGAACTTGACCTTTAGGTCATGGGTTTTGTCCAGGTCGGCAGCCTAGGCAATTCTAATGGCTTGCTTTCAGGAAAATAATTTAAAATATTGGCCCAAGGTGCTCCCTGTGTATTTTCCAGAGCTATAATCACTCTCCTATGAAACCCTAGTACAGTTTAGGGAGAAGTGCATAGGCATCCTCACCATCCACGGACATACTTCTGTCACATCTGAGTCAACGAAACTGATTTCTGGAGAAAGTGCTGACCATGGCTGTCAAAGGCCAACACCCCAGGATCATCCACGGGGTCCTTGGGCTCCAAATAGCCTTCTCCCAGTGCCCTTCACACAAAGCTGTCCTAAAAACATTGTGCCATACCACACTTTTCCACTAAGTAAAGGCCCATTGAGACTCTGGTTCAACAACTCTAAAGCCTGCCCCTGAATAGGTTTCACATCCCGAACAGGCCCCAGGGCAGCTTCTGTCCCAGTCTCAATTGAGCTTCTGACCGAGTACTGACTGAGCCTGGACAAAAGGGTGAGTTGCTCACTGTCCAAGCCTTAGGTCTTGCTGGGCACCCACTCATTTGTACCTACCCCAGTACCCACAGGCAGGCAGTCCTTCTGCCACCCAGGATACCTACCTTGGATGCTTTCTGGGACATCAGTCCCCAGGGATGCAGCAGATGCAGCACAAAAACTAGGACAGCAGGGCACCTGACCTAACTGCAGCCACACTCAGGGTCCTCATGTCCTCGCCCTGCCCGTGCCACATGGCCACTGCTGTCCTGGGTGCTCTGCTCTGTGTACTCAGTTGTTGGCTATCTGGAGTGGTGATACCTTGTCCCAAAGAAGAGCTCCTGGGTCCTGCCCTGAGCTGTCAGGATGCCACTGGCCACAGCAGGCTGACAGCTGTGGTGAGGCCTCTACTGCACTTACTTGGAGCACGCGTGGCTCTAGAGCCTGGAGCCTCCCTGCACACAGCCTAGCCATTTCCTATATTGTCCACTGCCTGGGATAAACAGGAAAGTCAGGGAGCCTGAGCACTTTGACCCACTCAGACACCTGCACTTGGAGAGAGCCAGGCAAGCAGGGGAAAGACCACCCAGACCACAGCAGGAAGCTATAAGCATCACCTTGGCCGACAGTGTCTCCTGCTCCACCCTGGTGTGCACACTTGAGGTCGTGGCCTGGGACAGAAGCCCCAGGTAGGACAGGAAGTGCTGAAGGGTCTTGGCCAGGGCCACCTCGTTCTCCAGGCCATATAGCCGATCGTTACCAACATTCTGTTGTGAGGTCCTGAAAAGTGAAGAAAACCACCAATCAGTGCTGCATGATGTTACGTGTAGATTGGGAGGTGTGTGAGGTGTGCAAGGCATGGGGTGTGGGGCTTGGGGAGTGTGAGGGGTATGTAGTGTGGGGTGTCCGTGGTGTGGAAAGTGCATGGTGCGGTGTGTAGGGGGTGTGGCGTGGTATGGGAGGGAGCCTGTAGCCATCCATGCTTTGCCTCTTGTTGACTGCCAGCTGGGCTTTCTCATAGAACCTCTTGTCTCACTGTGGGGGGACAGTACCTATCGTGAGCCACTATGGAACTGAGTAGTGGCTCCCAGAGGACCTCATACTCATCAGGCTCCCCACAGTGTCCCTCTAAGGACAGGAGACAAAACTAAAACACGGAAACAGAGGACAAAGACATGTATGGTACACACTGCAGGTGCAGAAAGAATTCTGAGAGAGACAACAAGTGAGCAAGACGGGGGACAGGTGTAGAGGAGGTCCAGGCATGGATCCCCACAGACCTCCAGCAGGGCCCAGCTCTGCTGCCGGCTTGGTTGTAACCCAGTGAAGATGACTTCTAACGTACAGTGCCAGTGGGTGCCCTCAGTGTGTACTGAAATGCTGCAGCAGCATGGGTGATGAATACAGTCCCGTGGCCCCTCCATGGATCCCCTGCCATCACCCGGTCACTCCATTCACATCCTGCCACGAACCTACACATCTGGGCACTCTGTTGGCATGATGGACATGGGGGAGCAGAAGTGACAAGGATAAGACCATGGAAACCCAGGCCTGAGTGACAGAAGGGCCACAGTCTGTGGAGAACAGACTGAATCTGGTAAGTTGACCATGCTCAAAGTCAAGAGAATGACAGGTGCCACAGCAATCAGTCACTCTCAGAAAGGTGTCCAGAGATTGGCCAGGCAGCCACGGAGCCCACAGAGGGGCTGAAAGCCAGGGTGATGGGCCGACTTTGCAGGCCCATATTCAGCATGGGGGTGGGGGGTGGGTGGAGAGAGCTACAGGCTTCCAGCTGAGGTTGACATGGCTGAGGTGAGCTGCTCTCAGGCTTCTGTCCAGGAACAGTCCATCTGCCCCACCTGCCCCACCTGCCCCACCTGCCCTGCCTCACAGACTGGCCCTGGGTCCTGAGAACCCAAGCCCAGCTGCCTGGAGCCCCCTATCCTGGCTCAGGCCTTTGATTTTGTGCTCATCACTTATTCCACAGGGCCTCGAGGATGTCTCCTAAAGGAGGAAGGACATTCAAACAGGACGACTGGCCTTCTAGCAAAACTGTGTACATAAGTACAGCTTTAATACATTCTAATACATGTTCCTCACTTCTAAGAAGAGGAACAGCCTCAGGGCCCAGGTGTAAATGGCTGGGAAGTGCTGACCATAGAGCTTTGGATTCTGATTACTTTCAGTTTTTATTGTTGAATACATAAAAGACGAGACGGGGACTAGTCAGAGAAGTAGTCGTCTGAGCCAGCGTAGGCCTCCCTTCCCCAAGTTTGCTGGGCAGCCTTGTGCTCCAGAACGTTCCCCATCAGAACTGTGCTGGGCTACAGCCATGGTCCCTCCATGCAGACCTGTGCCATGGCTGGCGGTCCAGCCTCTTCCTGCCGATGCACATCCAGCTGTCACAGCCAGGCCTGCCCATTCCTTGTCCTCCACCCAGAGGGAGGCTGCTCCCAGCTGGAGGCCAAAACAGGCCCACATTCAGGGCCAAGGTGGAGGAGTGGGTGGGAGCAGAGGCTTCAGAGCTGGGCCTGTCCCCTCCTTGGCTCACTCTGCAATTTTTGGCAGATCCTGGCTGACACAAGGAGGCAGGAATCACCCAGTGAGTGGAGTAAAGTGGATATTTTCAGATTCCAGAGCTGCTGCAAAGATAGCCCAGCGGTCCTGTATTCTTGGCTCAGTTCCCCTCATGTTAATATTAATTGATTCTGTTCTATTTCTTTTGTTGGCTTATTAGCCATAAATCTTTGTTTTGTAACCTTAGTGGTTGCTTCAAAGTGTGTGGCGTTCATGTTTAACTTTCCAGGCTGTCTGTAGGTGCCATCACTCATGCATCACGTGAAACACATACAAGAAACCAGCGTATGCGTTGCCATCCTGATGCTGGCCTCAAAGTAACAATTTATGTTGTCATAAACTATGTTTACAGCTACTTATGCCCCCGGGATACATTGTTTAAACAGTCAAGTCTTTAGGTGTGATTGAAACAACAGGCAGCAATGACATCTCTGTGCATGGGTTCACAGCCAGCATTTGCAGCACACTGTCGCATCTGTTTGTCCCCTTTCCCAGGCTCTCTGTCTGTCTGTGTCCCCTGCCCAGCTCCACATCTGTTTGTGCCCCCTTCCTGGTTCCACATTTGTCTGTCCCTCCTCCCCCAGCTTTGCACCTGTCTGTTCCTCCTCCAAGCTCCATGTCCATCTGTTCCCCCTCCTGGGCTCCGCATCTGCCAGTGCCCCCTCCCCTCCTTGGCTCCGGTTATTGTGAGAGGGGTCTGCATTCTTCATCCCTCTCCCTCACCACAGGACTGGGACTCTTCCTCACACTCATCATGGGCTTTGAGCAATTTGATTATGATGTTTCTTGTTTCTGTGTTTCTTTTTCTTTGGGCTCATCAAGCATCTTGATCCCTGAGTTCATATAATTTTCACCATGTCAAAACAATTTTGTTCAGTTCCTCAATGTTTTCTGTGCCTACTAACTCCCCTCCCTGGGCCTCCAATTACAAGTATATTTGGCCTCCTGCAATTGCCTCATGGCTCAGTGGTGATGCTTCTTTTTTAAATTATCTATCCTCCGTTTCCTTATGGCCAAGTCTCCAGGTTCTCTAATATTTTCTGCTGTTAGCTCTGTCTGCGTGTCCTCACTTCCTACCTCTCACATGTGTCCATCTAATGGATGGACCTTCTAGGTTTTATTCTCCTGATGCTTTTCCTGTCTGGTGATCCTTGACTAGACATCACCACTGTGAATGTCACCTTACTGGGTGATGGATATTTTTGTATTTTCATAAATCTTTTATTCTTTTTTGTTGGCCTTGAACTCCTGATCCTCTGGCCTCAGCCTCCCAAGTCTGTGATTATAGGCATGTACTACCACATATACCTTCCATAAACCTCATGTAACTCTACTCTGGCATTTCAGAGTTCTTGGGCGCAGCTCCAGCCTTCCTTTTGGGTCTCGCTTTTAAACTTAGCATGGCAGGATCAGCAGCATGTACCTGTGAAGAATTTTCCCCATCACAGAGACAAGACTCCTGTGAGCATTCTGCCCGTTCTCTGCATGTGGTGAGTCCTTCTTGTCTGAGGAGATGGCACCACATGCCATTGTAGAAAGGCCAGTGCATCCCAGTCAGCCCAGTGACTGCTGCACATCTCCAAGGCTCTCCCTGCTGTTGACACAGCGACCTGCAACCTGGAGTGGCTTTGTTTCCCCTACACTTATTTCTCCTTCTGGACATTGGCAGCCCCCCAGCTCCTGCTGTGCCAACCTGACCTCTCTAGGTAGTGACCTGGGACCATCTGAGGGCTCCTGTTTGTTTTCTGACTCACTGGCCACTGGCCTCATTCCTGGTATCCAGGTACCTAAAGGCCCTATGTCATTGGTTTGGCCTGTTTGTTTCAGGTGTCAGAGAAAAGTGTCCCTGTTACGTATCATGGCCAGAAGCAAGAGTGAAGTTTAGTTCTTTGCAGTCCTAAATGGGACCTGATGGCGTCCGCTGTGAGAGGTGAAATGGACAGGTAAGACACCATCACACAGTGGACACTGTTCATCAGTTACCAAGAATGAATGGCTAACCAGCAACAAGGCAGCACAGACCTCAGAAATCTCTACTGAGTGGAAGGTGCTGTGTCCACTGAGTCTGCACCACTGGGCACCATTTGTGTGATGTTTGCAACTACAGGAAGCCACACATGTGGGCAGAAGTCAGAGCATGTTTGCAGTAGAGCAAGGGCCTCCTGGACAATGCACGAGTGGACTCCGGGTGATGGAAAGGCCTCTGCTTGTCAGATGCTTATTTTGGAAGTTGTCCAATCATACACTTGAGACCTGCCATTTCACAGAATGCAAAACTCACCTGACTAAAATGTCCCCAAGGCCCCTGGAGAGTGTTGTCACCCAGCTGTGGCCCCTCCAGAAATGGCACTCCAGGGGGTCTGCAGCCCTTCATCTGCACCCAGGTTTGAGGTGCATTCCAAGCTGACCCCCGCTGGCCCACCTGTTCAAGCTGGCCACCTCTGAAGATGAAGCAGACATCAGTCCTGCTCTGGGTCCTTGTCACAATGCATAGAGCCCAACTCCTCCCCTGCTGTCCTCTGAGTCCACTGCCTATGAGCTAGTGCAACCAGAGCTGCAGGGCCACTTTCTAGTCAGCTGGATGCTCTCTGGGCACCTGAGGCTCTCACTAGCTGACTGGAGTCTGGCTGGGCTGGAGTCCAGTGCCCCCTTTGCCTGGGCACCATTGGCTCCTTTGATTCAAGCTGGACATCATCTCTGTATAAAACAAGGGAACTGAGCCCAGAAAATGATGCAGTAACACAGTGACCCAGCTCTGGGTCCCCTGAAATTGGACAAATGGAATTGCCTTCCTCACAGCAGAATCGAGATCCATCAACCCCACCAGCTTTCCCATTCCCAGCCTCAGAGTGGGCAGGAAGGGGCCCATGGTCAGGCCATGCAGCAAGCACCTCAGGTGCTGTTGGCCCCAGCACCTGCTACCTCCTGGCTCCCCCGGGGCCAGGAGAGACGTCCTTTTACCACTGGTTGATCCAGTGCCATGTTGCAGCCCAACAGGGAGAAAGGCACTTTCTCCCTCTTGTCACCAGGCTGAAATGCTCTTTGCTCTCACTGTGACAAGAAATTTGGCAGTGTCACATGATGATCCTACCATTCAGTGTGTGTGTGTGTGCACACACTGATGTTCCCATGTACAGATACGGGTTCACACGCTGACATTTGTCCTGGTTCGCATTTTCTCAGTAGAATAGCTCCTGGTTTTC